AAATAGATTTATAATGAAAATTATAACACTTCTTCAGCTGGATATTCACTAATTTGTTCAGATGATAAGCTCATACCACCTTCCTGTCATTTTTCTTCTGAATGGAAGAATTTCAATACCAGCTGGGGGGTGTGTTTCTGCCATTGTTACTAGCTGAAGTTCTAGGCAAACTTAACCAGATGGATGGAACTGTCCCAGCAAGAGCAGTGTCTGATTCTGAGATATGGAGGGTGTAAGCAGACATACACATTCTTGCTGGGTGACTACTGCTTTGGCTCCGTCTCCAGAAACGCTTACACAATTTTGCAGAAACTTCCTTTCTGTGGAATTACCAAAGTTAAAAAGAAAAAAACATAGACAGCCTCAGTCAATGGTAATATTTTCTAACTGATAGAGTTACTACCCACACAAATCAGCAAACACAAAGTAAATGGTACCTCTGAGACTAGGTGTTCTTTAAGGTCCCTTCCAAACCTTGACATTCTGTGATTCTATGAACCTTCTTTTCATGTAATGAATAGGCTGACCCTACAGACATTTTGCAAATACTGGGCTATATCAGAAACAACAATGCAGAGACAATGCATAATCACTATTCTAGTGCCTGTTGCACCTAATTCACAAATCATCTATAGTAGAGAAGAAAAAATCTGGTGCACTGAATCAATGGTGGTTACAAATACAGGTACTCTGCACCAACTGTTAAAGTCCTGCTTCTCCCACCTGATGTAGCTGCTAAATAGTGCATCCTCAGAGATAAATCCTTGAAAGAAAATGAATGGGAAGAAATTCTCTCATCTCCCCACTCATATACTTCACACATCATTCGTTTTTAAACAGGTTTTTGTAACACTGCCCCATATTGAAAATTCTTCTTGTCAAAGCTTTCAGAAAAAAACCCTGCAGTTTAAAATATTAATCTCCAATATCTAATAGCAGCCATCTTTGGTACAAGAGCATGACTAACTGGTTTATAAGCCATATTACATGTTCTGTTAGAGTATCACCACTTGACAGAGGCAATTAAAATCCTGTCTGGCAGAAGCTGGACCTTGAACTTGGGCAGCAGTCCAACTGCCCCTGAAAGTGCTATACACAACTGCAGAAAGCAAGCAACCACTGAACAAACCACATCCTGATCTCTCCTGTGAGGACACAAATCAGTTACAGCTGCACACTACAAATAACTATCCTGAAGTACCCAAGAAATACCTTATCTTGTTACAATCACACTCTTCGGGTCGCTTCTTCTTTAGATGACCTCTCACCTCCCTCAGGTTTTTTATTTTATTTTGCAAAGTTTCAATCTAAAAACAAAAAATTTAAAAAATTGTAAGATACAGGTTACAAAAAATACAGCATGATGTAGTCTTATTCTAACCTTCTCAGACCCATTCTACTCTCACCAAATGCTTCCTCTTCACCACCTTCCATGGCTCTCACTGCTAACGAGCATTTCTTAATTATCTAGCTTTCCAGAAGGAAACCACAGCAGGAGGAAGTCTAGTTGGCTCAGTCTGCCCGCTCTGATTCTTGACTGTGAAAGGAATGTGGTGCTGGGGGCATGGGGAGCACACAGGTGCAGGTAAGCAGCCACTCCTGCTTCCACCGGGATTGCTCCTCCTGTGCCCCGCAGCACATCTGCAGGGGGAGGAAGGCTGCTCCAAGGAAAATGAAGCCCTTAAGCTTTAGCCGGTTCTGACACTGAGCAGGGGCTGGGGAGGGAGTGCTCTGAAATCCTCTCTCTTCAGAGCTGCTGTGAAAGCGAAGCAGGAAGGCTCAGTCACTGCACATGGCCTGGCCGCGCGGGACAGCCAGCAGCAAACTGTGCCACCCACCTGGCTGATCTTTAACTGCCTCATTTTTTCACTCACTGAAACTCCTGCTTTGTTCAGTCTGGCTTACACACGGCGTGGCCCGTGTCCGCTCGCGTGGGCATCGCGCGGCTCCGGCTCATTCTCTACCCGGCAGCAAAACTGACGCAACCCACTGTGAACAACAGTCTCTGCAGAGCTACCATTAGCCATCACGGGCTGCTGAAGCAGAGACAGGACAGAGTGTTCAAGGGAAATACACAAAGAATCCAGCCCCGTGACCCTAAATCAGGAATACAGCAGGACAGAAATGAGTTTTCACTTCCTTTGACACTCCATATTGCCTACATTTTTTGAAGGAAAAAGAATTACAAGAGCACGGTGATACTGAGATTGCCCTTTTAAAATCTTAGCGGACTAGTAAGTTTTTCAGGATCTGCCTTGTGTGTCAATCTCTACCATAGAAGGGGGCTAAGAAGTTCTTACATACAGTGTTGCTGTGAGCTGATGTAATTTGGTAAGAGATTACAAGGAGCTCCAACCTTTATGCTTCTCTTTGGCATTTGTTCCACCATTATCTGGTCCTTGGAAGACCAGATCCTTAGACCCTCTTTCACATGCAATACATGTGAAGGGTTTGAGCTTATATTCTTATTAGTGACAAAAATGTCTGATGAAGTTTTACATGCTAATTTCATACAGCAAATAACCTCTAGGTCCCTGACACAAGCTTTTGAAAAAGAATTCATTTCAAAGTCCTAATTATAGAAGCACCAAAACTAATGAGGCTCACTTTTCCTTGGACTGATATTTGACACGTGGAGGCCTTTTTTGAGAGGTGTGTTGGGAAGCAGGGCTAGTAACTTGTCTTATTTAACTCATAAGGCATATGACATTTCACAGCTATCTCTTCAGTTGTAGTTCTTTCCTCCACTCAGCATCTTGACTTCACAAACTTGTAATAAGTGTCACTGAAATATCTATTCTGAAATGAGCCAGCAAGTGTAAAGGGTTCCAGGGAGGGACAAAGACATGCAGAGGCAGACAGACAGACACACAGTCAGCATGATCCTATCGGCCATCCTGAAAATATACACTGAAAAGGCACAAACGTAACATCACTGACCTCATGGTCAATATGAAGTTTATGGTCCTTCCAAGCTTGCAGTGACCTGTACAGATTTGTGTCACACTGAACAGTGTCATTCTCCAGGATATAGCACCTTGGCATGAAAAAGCAGACAGTGTTTAGTACACACAAAGCAATGCAAACAGCTGCTTTCAATAACGCAGCTCCAGGACAAGTGAGACCCCGGACCGGAAATGACACGCAAAATTCAAATGTGCATCCAAGAGAATACGAGCATGCTCTGAGCCAGGAAAGAAGTTTGGGTTGGAGCTGCCATGGAAATTTTTAAGAAATAGAAAAAATCAAGGAGCTAATTCTATCAAGCAGAACCTGTTGACTGCTCAATTTCTATACGTCAATTGTGCTGCACAGAATTCTTGCTTATTCATTAGACTGTGTACATAAACAACCTCTACTAACTAGCAAGAACTGAAGGCATGACTCGGAAGGAATTTCCCAGTGCATAATTAAGTGATGCCGGGGAAGGGGCAAGGATTTAGTACTTCCTTATGAGAGGTATCACTACACCATAAAGAAAAGGTGAAAAACCCAAAAGCAGTAACCAGAAACAAAGAAATGTTTTCTACAAAAGGGATAAATTTTTTTAAGGGTATCTCACTGACTTCAAAGGCAAAATACACTCTGACAATATTAAGTCCTTATGTTTCACTAACTTCTAGTGAAATCCAGTTTTTAAAAATTCTTTAGAAGACAAACTGAAATGCCCACTTGACAGATTTACCTGAGAAGTTTATCAGGTGGTCAAATACCATGTAGTCATTTCTGAATGCTTGTTTAAACTAAGGCTGAGTATTTTCAATATTCCTTTACTTTCTTTAAACCACCTCCTGCATCTTGTCCCACGAGCAGAAAAGAAGTCAGTGTTCCTGGGGACTCCTCATGAATAATGCACAACCTTCCTGACAGTTCCTTGCATAAATTTGGGCGTCACTCCGTAAGGCAATAAAAAAAAAATCAATTTAATTTGTTCCAGAAGAAAAGCACAAGTAGTGATCTGTGGGTCCTGAACATTCATGTGAGCTGGGATAATAAGGCACAGTTCTCTGGTGCAAACCTGGCTGCGTTTCCTCATATTGCAGAGTCTCTAACTCACTTCTGTGAAGAGGAGGCCAATGGAAAACACAGATTTCAACAGCAGCTAACTGGCTCCTGCATGTTTACATGAGCTAGTCATTAAACAATTTAATGCAAGTAATCAATAATGCCTGATGGATTTCCTGATAATTCACAAGCGGAAATGGTGACTAAACTAATTTAGTTGAAAACACATCATCAGTCCCTAGACTTGCACGGTGAAGAAATTATTTTTAGCTGCTAAAGGTGCTCAGACAATTGCCTCCCCTCTCTCTTAATATGTTCCACTTCTCAATGCTCCTCATCCATCCAACTTCACTCATATTGTAGATTTTCCTTTCCTAGCACTGGCTACAGAAAGCTCTGCACAAAGCATCCAGTGACACCAAACCCGTTCAGTTCATACTCCACTGCTCACTGATTTCCAGGGGAAAGGCCTCTCCTGGTTTCACCCAGGTGTCGACACAACTGTTGCCAACAGTTTTGCTTGTCCTCACTGGAAACATGCAGTGATCAGTGACTACTGCTTCCACACGGGGTGCAGAAGACACAAAAGCATTGCTGCAACTCTTCAGGAGCTTCATGCCCCTCTGTACTGACAAAACAAAACCGAAGACTGTTGTACACGTGAGAATTTTAGTGAAGCTAGACTGGGTATCCAACATGCTTAAAACATGTCAACCTACCTGTTTACATAAAGCAGTCACTTAAGCAGCAAAAGCTTTTCAAAATCTACCATGTGCACTCACCTGTGGGTCACTTTGATCAGGTTAGGGGCTGTGTACTCTGCAATGCCACCAGTGCCACTGTATTCCCCCATGTCTCTATCTTCCTCCTCATGCAGAACAGCCCTCTGCACCTTGTGCCGCTTGGTGACGTTCCTTGGTAAGATGGGCTGGTATCCATCCTCTAAACCCAGGTTATAAACAGCTCCATCCAGCTCAACGGATACAGAACGGATAGAGCGATTCCGGGCATAGCTTGGCTTGAATTCTGCACGGAAAAATAAGTGAAGGAGGGGCAGAAACAGCGTGTTACACTTTGCTCCTCTTTGTGGCTCTTGGGAAGAAAGAAAACAGCCTGTACTGTGATGTTTGGAATTAACTGGATGACAAACGGTGTTTGCTGCAGTAAGTCCTCGAAGCTGCTGCTTCCTTACCCTTGGCATGGACGGATGGATGTGTATCTCAGGGCACGAGAGGATGGCTACAACGCAAATGCAAAAGGATGGCAAAGGGGAAAGAAAACGTTCCTTTCCAGCATCACTCCCAGCTCGCTCAGACTCTGCCCTTCCGCCAGGATCACCAGATGGCAGTAACACCTTCCACACCAACAGCATCACCCTCACACCAGTTCCATGCTCCACTGCCAGCGCTCCCGCCACGCCTTCCTGAAGTCGTCCCAGTAACCCCAGTGTGCAACCCGAGCCTTTTCTCAAGTCTATGGTCATTCTTCAAGGCCAGATGCTTGATTTTTTTTTTGGAAAGGGATTAATATCCAAATCTCTCCTTTTCTCCGCATCTAACTCTTTGTAGTCGTTCCCCTGCTGTGCAGCCCAGTCAGTCAGCTGCTCCGTGAAGCACCACCCTCCAGTGCTGTTCACTCCCTCGGGCCTTGCTTCTGCATTTGCCGTCCAAAATGAATCATTTGCGATGAACTTGCATTGTGCAGTATGAGATTCTCATCGATCTTTTCACGATTACTGCTTTCCAAAGTTTGACACCCCAGCCCAAATCCCCAAATCTCTTCTGTTTGGTCTGGAACGACACTATACAACCTAGTTATGAAATCTAAATCTATATCTAAACTTCCCTGCCATATGATGGGGCCCATTTCTGACCCTATTTCTTGCTCACCCCCAGCAACTGCTGAGTCACTCATTAGGCACACAATGCCGTCATTCCTTGAGAAAAGAAGTACAGCCTAAGTACCATGACCTCCTGCTCCCTGCCCTGGGCCTCAGGCTTTGCTCTGTACACGAGGCTTGGGGTTACCTCAGAGCCTACTGGAAACGACGGAGTCCCCTGGCTCCTCCAGTCACCTCCTTTAAACAGGCTGAAACACACAGCACACCTCAGGAGACAGGACTTCCCTCTGCAACCTGGTAAGAGAAAACTCAAAGTGCCAAATGAGCAAACCTATCTTTCTTGCAATCCCAAGCTCCACAGAAAAGTCAGCTGTCTCTATGGAAAAACCTCCCCAGCAAAACAAGTCGGGGCGAGGAAAGGAATGGGAGGTAGAACAACCAAAACTGACACAAAATGCATCAGTTGTCATGCTTTGGCATTAATGTAGTGACTTTTTTTTCAAGCCTTACATTCATATCAAATAGAGTGCAAGGTCTCAAAGCCATTTTGCAGACTGTGGGAAGTGAAATGAACATCTCCCACCTGAAACTGGGCCAAGCACTGCATTTTTGTCAGCGCCACACACAGAAAGTAGAATACCAGCTGGATTGTCTGTCTTTGCACATTTTCCACCTGTGGCCCAAAGTTTATTGCTGATATTAAGCCAGGTGAGTCACTGCTGAAGAAAAAAACCCTCAAACTCATAAAGGACCTGCCCTATTTCAGGCACCCATTCAGGAAATGTTTGACTAAATGAGAAGGAAACTCCCACCTTTTCAAAAGTAGGAGGAAGTTCCAAAAAAAGCTGCACCCTAACAATTAGATTCAAAGTATAAACTCCCATTTCTTTAATCATTCCCTTATTTCTTTTTGTTCAGCTCAGCCAACTAAGAGTTTACTTTCCTTCCTAGTCTAGTATGCCAACCCAGCACGTTGGACCTTAGCAGATAGCCACGGGGAACTGTCATCTACACGTCCCTGAAAAACTCCTCCCTTTGCAGCCAAACACAGCCTGCCAGCAAACAAACTGGTCTGGAGCGAGGCAGCTCCTAAGGGACTGTCCTACCATGCTGCACACAGTGCTGTGAATAAGCACCAAACTCTATTCTGAGGAAGGGATGAAAATATTTAATAAGATCAATACTCCTTTGTGCTGTGCTCTCTCACCTGCGAAGTGCACTGCAGCATAAATACCAATGTTTAATTACTTATTAGTCCATCCTCCCCCAGGTTTAAGTTTTACTCTCCAATTGATATACCTTTGTACACAGCCCACAAACAGTAGATCCAAGGCTGTTAAATATTTGGCCCAAAACATCTGTTCTCCAAGTCGTTCACGTTTGGTTTCGTAAGCTCTTCCTCAGCTACTACAGAAATGTGCTGCTAAGAAGTTGCAGCCTCAAAACTGAATCTCAAAATGGAGTCCAGAGAAATTTAAGCCCAAAAATCCAACTGCTTTCAGTACCCCACTCATCCAGCTGGGTCTTGTTGGACCACCTGACCAGCACGTTTGTCTTCACTGAAGCCTGAAAGGAACGTTTCCCACTAATGTCTAAATATTTTGCATTTTGTAGAAAAAAGCAATTTTCCCATAAGACAGTAAAATCAGGCACTTTAAAAGCAATTTTAAAAAAGTATCTCCGATGTCTAGAAATATGGGTAAAGTTTAGAGGGTTTTTCTTTTCCTGTGCATTGTATACCAAGGGAATTCCCGAAATCTTATTTTGAATCTGTCCTTAGATATTTCAAACAGGAAGAACACCCAACCCAAAAAAACTTTCTTATGTCCCATTTCTCACAACTGCCATTAAAAATCATACTTCGACTGCAATAGCTTTAAAGCAACTGATTCATTTTTTTCAATAACAAAACAGCTAATTTTGCCTCAGCATTGAAACTACCTCAAAAGAAAAATGAATGACAGGAAAATCAGAATAAAAATGCACTAGTCCCTTTGAACACACTTCTGTTTGTTTACA